TTTTACTTGAGCCAATGACAGTCGTGAGTAAGAACTAGCTGCATCTTCAGCAAACAACAATCTGAGGGTTGGGTTTAGGGTTTAGGGTTTAGGGTTTAAGGTTTAGGGTTTAGGGTTTAGGTTTAGGGCCCCAAAGCACCCTGTCAACTCTACAACCCTGAACAGCAACCAGTATACAGGGGGCCCCCCTGAACCCTAAACCCTAAACCTCACTTAGCCCTTCACCCACCTACCCCCCCCAAACCCTAAACCCTAAACCCTAAAACTGGCGGGGCCGCTTCCCGGGAGAGGTAGTCTCATTCGCTTCATATCGATCCGGGAGCCCGCCTCGAAAAGAAGTCGCGTGATGGTGTTCTTTTGGTCGGGGTTTAGAGCTCATAATGGGTTTAGGGTTTAAGGTTTAGGGGTTGAGGGTTTAGGGGTTGAGGGTTTAGGGTTTAGGGTTTAGTGGTTTTGGTTGGGGTTTAGAGCACATCATAGGGTGTAGAGCTTCTTTTTGTTGAGGCTTCCTTCCCGTCTGCTGCTGGGCTCGGGAAGTCCTAATGGGAGGCTTTGAAGAGTGTGCATCCTAATGCAACAAGGGTTTAGGGCTCAGGGTTGGGGGTTTGGGGAGGGAATGTTGGTGACTGAAATTATCGGTTTGTGAAAGGCTTCATAAGCATTTACAGGGCTCTATGCAGGATTTGTACGGAATGCCACGGTTTAGGGTTTCGGGTTGTTCGAACTCTGTGGCTTTCACTGTAAAGGGCCTTGCGAGGTTGGTATTGATTCATGAAGTCTTACAGCGCTGTATGCGCGCTCGTACGAGTTGGGCCAGTAGGTCAAGCGTAAGAAACTCGTTGAGAAGATGATAAAACCCAACGGGACGACACCAAAACTCTCGACCAGCAGGGGTTCTGGATTTTGAGGCTTCGGGCCTAGGGGAGTACAGCAAGCCCCAAAGCCAAACGACAAAGTCAAATGAAAATCTTTTCGATGGAAGGACAACACACCATCATGCCACGCGTGGGGCCATTCAGTAAGCAGAAGCCTGGAGCAATCAAGATGATACTGGAAAACCGAACATCAATCAAGGACCTACAAGAAAGGGCGCTTACCCACAATCCTTTGAAACCCGTTGTAAATATGGAAAGCTGTCCGACCTGATTTACTAACACGGGTACTACAACACAATCGTAAAGATGGCTGAATGTATGTCTATTTTCGTGGGTTTAGGGTTTAGGGTTTAGGGTTTAGGGTTTAGGGAAAGTGTAGAAAAAGCATAGATACAAATACAAACATATGTACAGGTACCCATACATGCACACACATACACATGCACACACATACACATACACATGCAGGTACACATACACATGCGCATACACAAACACATAGACACATACATAAACATATAGATATAGATACAGAGATATAGAGATAGATACAGATACAGATGGAGATACAGATACAGATACAGATATAGATACATACATGGAAATAGATACAGATATAGATATAGATATACATGTACGTACGCATATAGGTATGCAGATGCAGATGCATATCTATATATATATATACACACACACGATCATACATGTACATTTGGTGAATGCACAAGTATCATTACATGCATGTGTATGTATGTAGGTATGCATGGATGTGTGTATGTGTATATACACATGTACGTATGTACGTATCTATGTAGGTATGTATGCATGCGTTTATGTATGTGTATGCATGTTTTATATACATATACATATCTATGTATTTCTGTATGTATATATATATATATGTGTGTGTGTGTATGTATCTATGTAGGTATGTATGTATGTATGTATGTATGTATGTATGTATGTATGTATGTATATATGTATGTATGTGTATGTACGTATGTATGAATGTATGTACGTACGTACGTAGGTATGTATATGTA